CTCACTTCTCTTTAAACTCTGTTCTAGTTCTAGCCGTCACAACCTCCTGCAGCAAGGAGTTCCACAGGTTGAATCTTTGCTTTGTGAAGAGCACCTTTCTGTTAGTAGTTTGAAGCCTGCTACCCATCCTTTTCCTTTGGTGTCCTCTAGTCCTTCTATTATGGGGACTAATGGAGAACTTTTCTTAATGCACCCTCTCCACCCCACTCATGCTTTTATGGACTTCTATCCTATCCCCCCTCAGTCTCCTCTTTTCTAAGCTGAGAAGTCCCAGTCTCTTTAGCCTCTCTTTATATGGGACCTGTTCCAAACCTCTGATCATTGTAGTTGCCCTCCCCTCTCCCACCCTCTCTCTTCCCCTCTCCCACCTCCTTTTCTCAGTCTCCCCAAGTTTTGTTCAATACAGAGAGATTCTATTTTTGACCACACGTTTTCTTTATTTTGTACATCAGGAAGGGGGGCTAGGGAAGGGTAAGTGGAAGGAGGTGAGGGAGGAATGGGGTATGAGCCCCCGATGGGGAGGACTGGGCTGGCTCTGTGGGCTTCTGGATGTGGAAGCTCTCCTGCAGCCCCCCAATTGCCTCGTGGAACGAGGTTTACCGGTAGTTCGGAATAGGAAGCCTAATCCGAACTACCTACTCCATGCCACGTGTAGCCGTGGGCACGGAGTCCAAACTAACGGGGATTTAAAAATGGTGGCACCCGGCAAGATACAAATGAAGCCCGGGAAATTCAACTCCCGGGCTTCATTTGCAACTTCAGTTGCCTACATTAACCACCCTAGTTCGAACTAGGGTGGTAGTGTAGACATATCCTGATTTACATCTCACTTTGTACTGCTGCAAGTGGTTACACAAAGTTTATGGCTCGGGAGAATCAGGCCCCTTGGTTCCCAATTCAGAAAATTGATGAATTTTTGTCTTGTAATGTGTCCATGATGTGAACTGCTTTCTCATATCAGATTTTAAGGATAAATTCTTTGGAAGCACTTTCATGGGCATCATCCTCTGCCTGGGGAGCAGAACATGCTTTTTCTCTTTTCTGTCAACTTTCTGCTTGCAAAATTGCCACTCAGTGGCACACATTTCTCTTAGCATAGGTAGTAGGGAAGAAGGATAACCTCTTCTGTGGCACTGCGGCCCATAAGTAGCACACAGGTGGCCAAGTCTGAAACCAAAGTCATATAATAAAATAGACCCAGAAATGCCACTACACATTCAACCAGAAAGGTCACAGAGGACAAAGAATGATGTGGTCCCATCGCAAAAGGAGAAGCTCAGATCTCATGACAGATGCTTGCATTGTTGCATTGTTTTCACTAATGCTAGACCACTTGGTGGAGAGCTGAATTCCATGAAAAAGAATTAGATACATAATTAGAATTTTATCCACAAGTTTCAAGGAGCCAGATACTAAGAGACAGATGACGGTGTCAGTTTTGTTAGGAATAAGTGCACAGCCATTCTACTGGTCCCAACATAACCTGATTTTAAAATGCCCTTTTGGAAACAAGCTTGTGATTCTCATGCCAATTTTAGCTATTTCCAAGGTGGGACAGCCATGTCCAAACATGCCTAGTGGATAAAATTAGCGTCTTTCCTCTGAAACACTGACAGCATAAAATTATCAATTGAAGCTACAATGACTGTGTACCATATGGTATTCATGAAAGTCAGGAAGGGTGAAAACATGATAGCAGAAAGGCGTGGAATTGAATGAATTCACAGCAGAGATTATAAGCAAATAGATCAGTCGTGCCCAGCAGGAGGTGTAATCAGAAGCGAAACAGAACAGCATATCATTAATTAACGATTTCTCATTCTTCTGTGTCATTTTCTACTTTTTTTTCAAACAGCAGACAATCACTTAATTATAGTCCTTATTATGTACAGCACATGCAGCAGAGCTTTTAAAAAACAACCACCCTTTTGCTTGTGAAAATGACTTTGATGCTCCTCTTAACCTTTCCTTAACCTTATTCTCATTTTCTTTTCATCCACTCCTAAGCAAGTCAAGATAAATCAATATAAATCAACAATACAAGCTGGGTTTTTTTTATTTCTTAGCTGTCAACAGATGGAAAGGACACTCAAGAATAAAAAGATTCCAATTTAATAATAGACTATTACAATTAAACAAATAGCTCAGCAGCATATCGAGACTGCATTTGCACTACTTTGCATTGTAGCGTCTCTCAGCACTTGAAGATCTCATTCAACACATGAAGAGCAGTAAAACTCCTGAGCTGCAGTCATCTCAGAATGCAATCTAGTTGCTAGGATGTGCCAGCACACCCCATAACAATTTAATATTACTATGGACTATTCTGATCTAATGGACATTGTCATTGCCAATGGTCATAGATTGGGATGGAATTTCATAGAGAAGCTGAAGAACATACTCTATGTAGAGTTCTGAATGGGGAAAAATTAAGTTTTTGTAAGGTAAAAGGTAAGTGTTTTCTTTCTATTATGGCTACCTCTAAAGTAGAGATGGGTCTCTATGTTTCAAGGAAATAACTAATTGAACCTTTGCTTACAACTTGAACTGATTCACTGAGATATGCAATAGCTCTAACAGAGGTCAATCCAATACCCACTAAAGTCAATGGACATTAGATGAGGTCCTCATTGTGGGCAAGGGTGGAGACTGGGAATGTATGGGTAAGAATTGCAGGATTGAGCCCTCTGTGTTTTAAAATCATTTCTCATTTTTGTACATTTCCATGTCTCCTTGTTCCAGCTAGGATCAGAGGCCCATCACAGTAGAAAGGGGTGTTCTTAATCTACTAGCCAATTACTCCATCATTAGATGGGATTTTCAGGTCTCTCCTCCACATTGGTCTTCTCTCCTGAGCCTCCGGTCTCTCTCTCTCTCTCTCTCTCTTCCTCCTCCTACTGCCTCCCCCCGCCCTCAGTTCTTCTCTGCATCCTGTCTCTCTCACCTTCTGCCTCTCTCTCCATCTCTTTCTTTCTCTTCTCCCAACTCCTGCCTCTCACTCTCTTTCTCTTCTCCTCCTCCTCCTGCCTCTCTCTCTGCTGCATCTCTCTCTGCCCCCCTTCCCCTCCGCCGTGGTGCTCGGCTGAGTGCTGCGCCGCTCAGCAGGGCTGCTACAGAGGAGGGGGGCGGGGCGGTGATGTACACGGCCTGGGGGCAGGGCCGTGTACGTCACCGCCCAGCCCTCTTCCCCTCCCGGCGTGGCGCTCAGCTGGGCCGCAGCAGGGGCGGGGCGGAGACGTACACGGCCAGGGAGCGGGGCGGTGTACATCACTGCCCCACCCCTTTCCCCTTCCACTGTGGCACTCGGCTGAGTGCTGCGCACTCAGCGGGGCCGCTGCGGGGGAGCCCAAACGGCCACTTGAGCCGCTTGCTCCCCTGCTGCAGCCCAGCTGAGCGGCGCAGAACTCAGCCAAGCGCCACGGTGGGAGGCAAAGGGAGGTGGGGCGGTGACGTACGCGGCCAGGGAGTGGGGCCTGGACGAGCGTGCATCCCCGACGGAGACAGAGGAGGGCAGAGCAGTCTGACCTGCTCTTGTCTAACCTACTCTTGTGAGTTTCATAGCAGAAACCCACCCTACCTATCCGTGTTCTTTCTGTGCTGCAATAGTCAAAAACAGTGCTTTTGGAGCAGATTCTCCTAACACTTTCATGCATTAACACACTTACATGAGGGTTGTTTAGCTACCAACATATAGATAAGGAATTATAGCTAAAAATGATTTGGATTCTGCAGGGCCTCGTTGTATCATGTTCACAGTTGGCATCTCCTCAGAGCAGAGTAGCAATAGCTTCCTCTAATGAACATTAAAAAATAATGAATAATGTTTGCATGCGGATGGAGCAATTTAATAATGGTGAAATGTTTCTTTAAAACATTACTGAATTTTATCAGGAAACCCTTTGCCTACTCATAACTAGCTTTTCTTTCAGATGAGACAAAAGAGTGACTCTCTGACGATGAATAGCTATTCAATATCATAGAGCACTTTTGAATATTAATATTGATGTCC